CGGCGGAGGGCAAAGTCACACCGTGTCCTGACGCAACCTCTCCCTCTCCAATAAATGAGCTCAAGGTTTTAGAGGAAAGCCAGTGTGCGCTTGTTTGCAGGGAAAGGTCTGACACAAGGATGGAGGCTGCTTTTTATCTGCTGGTCTCCAAGCAGGAATCCTCCCTGGCTCCAACACGTGGTAAGTCTGCAGAGAGCCTTCAGCCACCCGGATCCGGCTTGCAGAGAGCTGGTGATGGGTTCACACAGGCTCCACATCATCATGACAGTTGGAGGAGGCACAAGCACATCTGTGTGCACGATAGCTGATGGGGAATTGAGGTGCAGAGGGGACTTGGAGGAGAATTCACCCAGCAAAGTCACACACTGGTGGGCTGCTGGCATGGCCAGGCTTGCCTTAAAGCAGCATCCTCCAGGACACGCGGATAAGGAGAGCTCAGCCAGCCCAGCATCCCAGGATAGGCTTGGAGAACAGTGTGAAGCAACAGCAACACTGCTCTCCTCCCCGTGCTCAGCAAGGGATCTGGGAATTTCCATTCACAGCACAAAAACATCTTCAAGCCCAGGTATGCTCAATCAATTTCAAGGTGGAACAGGGATACAAGGAATCCCACAAACAGCCCAGTGAAATAAAGCCACAACTGAAAATAAACACAGAGGAATCTGCCCTGATGATGGGGATTCAAGGTGGAAGGAAGCTATATTCTCTCGGTACAGTAACGTCCTAGAGGGGCAAATTAAAGCCCTCAGGGAGGCTGTGCCACCAGCTACCACCTCAGAGGTGTCAGAACCAGCAGGGATGAGCTTCACCCCACTGGGGAGACACTGAATGTCACCCACACAGTATAACTGAGGAGATCCCCAACGCCTGCAGCAACCAAGACACCCATCACACCCCCACTTCCCCAGGTAGCTCTGCACCACCCTGCTGGCACCCAGGGGAGAAGGGGTGATGGGGTGTGTTTGCCAGTCCCCATCACCCTGCAGTCCAAACAATCCTCTGAGCTCCCCACTGCCCTTTCCAAAGCATCTCGGTGATTTTAGCACCCATCACTGTTTTCAAACATCATTCTGTCTCTTCAAGGACTAAAAGCACTATTGAAAACAGGACTCAGATGTTTCTGAAAATGGTACCCACTGTTTATTCTCAGTTTAGTCTACGGATAGTAACAAAAATGTTCACTTCCATTCTCATGGATCCTTTCAGAACTGGTACAGTTTGCACCTCACGGTTGAAATTTTGGCTTGATAGGTGCATGTGTGTTTTTCTGTGTTACACTGCAAACATTTCCCAAAAGATTTTTTTCAGGTGCATCTTTTGGACACAACTTAAAGCAGCTCCAGTTAGCACATACCTGGGGCAGGAAGCACCTGGATCCTGAATATCAATTGCCTCTCTATAATCCAAGTCTCCTAAAATCCTCCCAATTGCAACCACAGCCTCAGAAGAGGATTTCACCGCAGTCAAGCTTCTCTCCATTCTTCCCCAGTAGAATCTGTACAGTCAACTTTTTTTTCTTCTGGAAATCAATTACTTGTCCAGCAGACTGTAGCAAGAGGGGATTAGAGGTCACGTTTTCCACAATTATCCTCTCTGATGCCGAGAAACTTTTCAAATCGTAAGCGTTAAGTAGGTCACAAGAGGGAAAAGCCGCGTGATGGGTGTTTAGCATCAGTGAACCTGAATTTGGAGAAAATGGATGCAGGCCAGCGCTGACCTGCATCCCACCCCTCATCCATACCCAGCCAGGGGTGAGAAAAACATATAGACTTCCCTGATGAACCATAAGCTAAAATTAGAAACCATTCACCCCTGCAAAGCCACAGCTATCGCCAAAAGGAAAGTAGGTCATAGAATAACTGGCTAACTTGATTTTCCGGCGTTTCTAGCTGCTCTGTCCTCACATAACCTCTTCTCTCCCATGGACCGTTTTTGGCGTCTCCTTTGTTCGGGGTATAACTGCACACAGTGTGCAGCTCCAGCACAGCCTGGCAGGAGCGGTGGGAACGGGCACGGCAGCACCCGCCTGCTCGGTGAAGCACAGACCCGTGGTTCATGAAAAATTAAACCAGAGCCAAGCGACAGCCCCTCCACCAAGTGCGTCGCCTCCCACCTGCTCTGGGATCGGCACAAGCGCTGGCTTCCTGCCCCTTCCACAATATTGCTCTTTAAAGATCATTTTGGGCTTTGCCAGCTCTTCTGGGGTGCTTTGCTGTCTCGCCTCTTCCCGGGGCCTGAATATCCTCTTTTTATTTGCATTTCTTACCGTGTGCTGCCTCCCTCAAGCGAGCCACAAGCTGAGGGATGTGAGTAAATCAGGCTTTTCCTCCCTTTGCGTGCAGGCTGGAGCCCTGGCTCAGCCGTTACAGCCGCTTTTCCTGCAAATAGACCTCGAGGCACTAGACTTCCCTGCTTTTCTGCAGCACAGAATAGGTGGAAAGGCTTAAAATCTGGTTGAGTGACCTTCCTTGCTCTTGATCAGTATGTCTCCATCCAGCTCTCAGCCCTTTGCTCCTACCAACTCACCTTGCAATTAAGTGTTAACCTGCAGCAAAGTGATGGGTCAGCACCATTGTGCCCAGGGCTCTCCCATCCGACAGACAGCTGGGTACGTCTGGCTGCTCTGCTGCCACCAAACCCATCCAAAGCAACCTGACATCCAACCACCAACCACTCTTTTCCACCCACAACGTTGTTCCCATGTCCTTTCCTCTTCCAGTTTTCCTCCTCCTGGTCCCAAGGGGAAGAGCAGTCATCACTAGAAGGCATCCCAAACATGTCCAACGGAGGTGAGAGGCTGAAAGCTGAGCCTGGGGATGCCCTTTAGAAGGACAATTGCATCCTGAATCCCACCTTCGCTACTGGAGCCATGACAAGGGCAACGCTGTCAGCAAGGCTCGGCAGACCCTTCCCCTTGCAGCCCATGGCTCGGCATCTCCGTGTGATGGCACCTAAAGGGGTTCTTCCATCACCCAGCCTCAGCCCCTACAGTCAGCCACAGCAAGGCTCTGTCCACTCTCCATCACCCACGAATAGAGTATGTCTTCTACAAAGGAGGAACTTCTCTCCAGCCTGCTATGGTTTCTACCAAGCAAAAGGGAAGGGTTGTCTGGTTTGAGTCTCCTACCCGCAGACGGGCTGGCTTACACGCTACTCGCATGGGGACTTTACAAGAACAGGGGAAGAATCATCATTTACCCATCCCAGGGATCCCACAGAGACAAACACGGAGCCAGCTTTGAAATTATGCAGACATTTGGTGTCAGATGTGACCTTCGCTTGCTGAGCACCCGCCTGGAACGAGAACACGCTCTGGCGAAGGTGAATAACAAAACACTCCTGGTTACAGCCTGGCTTCAAGGATCAGCGAAGCTCGGAATGAACTCGGGCACACTGACAAATAGATGCCACCAGCTCTGAGCACTGAATGCGACAGTGTCCCAGGTATTATGGTCACACACTTTCAAGGAGAAATGAGAACTCCATGCTTGCTCTTTGCACTCTTTGCCACCACCCACGGGACAGGGCAGCAACCCTGATGGGCAGCAGAGGCTTTGAGAGCAGATGGTGTCTGCTGTGGAGGAGGTGATGGGGAGGAGATTTGGGGAGATGGGAGGGTAACAGTCACTCTGCTGCTGGGGGTGGGCAGAGACAAGAGGTGACAAAGCAGGACAAGGGTCTGTCAGGACACTCAGACTTGAGCCATGTCCTGCTAACAGGACTGCTATGATGCAGGTCGTTGGGGATGCAATGGCTGAAGATCACCTTCCCCTCCTGCCTCAGCACCATCACCCATTTCTTCCCCTCGTAACACAGTCCAGGTACACGAGAGTGTCCAGGGAGGACAGCACTCAAGGGAACAGGAGTAAAAATATTTGAGACCTTCTTTTTTGAACCTAACCCCTTGACAGAAGGCACAAGCCATCGAGCTCAAGACCCCTGGCAGTGCCATGGGGAGAACGGCTTTGAGAAACCCTCAGCACCTGCCCCCAGTGCCCGGTGTCTGTAAAGCTGTCACCAACCCACGCCTCAAACACATCGACCTCGGTCCTCACCCACTCGCACATCAGACCGTGCCAGTGCTGGGTTATTGCTCAGGGAGAGAAGAAGATGGAAAAAGGAAAACCAGGAAAATTGCAACGCCTGGGAGCGCGGGGTACGTGATTTATTTCTTTTTTTTTCCTTTTTAGGAGCTGGGCACCTGGATTTCTGCAGCTCCCAGTAAAATCACGGGCCTCGCAATTCAATATAATTAATGAGTGGTAGTTTTCCTTTTATGCAAAATCATTCTTTTTATCCAACACCTAAATGAAAATGAATATGCTTGATTATCTACCAAAGGGTCCAATTTCCTAGCGTTGCTTCGAAGCGCACAGCAAAATCCGTGTCTCCTCAGGCTGCTATTACAGGCAATGGCTGAGTGCACCAAATGAGCAGTCAAGGCAGAGATCCAGAGCCAGGGATGCCAGCCTGACCTTTGCTGATGCTGTTTACAGTGTCAAACATCCACAAATCCAGCCATGGCTGCATCCACCTCCCTTCTGCTCCAGCCTGGGAGGCTCAAGGGCAGCCAGGAGAGCTCATAGCTGGCCTGCCAGTACTGGAGCATCACAGATGTCCCTTTGCATCCATGCAGCCCACCCTACCACACCAAAGCCCATACTCTGAGGTAGCTTTCAACCAGGTTCAGTTCCGGGGGAGATGATGAAACAGCTATTTAACAGACAGGGCTCTGAGGCATCTCCTAAACGTTTCAAATCTAAGGCTGATCACAGGAAACCCCCCCAAGGCAGTTTCTTCAGAAGATATTTGTGTTCAAGCCACACAGCAGAGCGAGCTCCTCATGGCTCAGCCCTCGCCATCTATCCACCTCCCGCAGCCTCTGCCCCAAGGATCACACCCTGAGGAATCCCCCACCTACCCCTTACCAGCCTCCCCATCCCTGGCCAGGGTGAGACAGCATGATCACAGATTTGTACCTCCATCGTTTCCAGACTCACCCTGTTCTCGTCGTAGATGATCTGCACCAAGCTGCGATGTTTGGACTCGATAGGAGGGGGGGAGATGGGTTTTTCAGGCTCTGGTGGTTTGGCTGCTTCTTCCTCCAACTGTTGCTGTGGAAGGAGAGGGGGGAGGAGAAGGGTGAGTCACAGCGAGAAACGCAGCCGTCCCCATCCACACGAGACTCTCTGCGGTGCCGCGACCGAGGCAGAAACCGCCATGGCAGAAGGCTTCCTGCGAGACACGGGCAGGTTCAGGCCGTGGAGGGACGGGGAGAGGGAGGAGAGCTGCGTAACATCTCCTGCCACGCAAGCGCAGGGCTGTCCTGCCCCAGGCACCCGGCCCCGGGCTGGTGGGTTGAAGCTTTATAGGCACGAAGGATGAGGACCTGCCTTGAACGAGCCGCCTGGAGAGGGGTCGAGGATAGAAATGATGATTTTACTGGAAACCCTTGAAGGGAACCGCAGCTCCAGCCCTGTTCCCTGCTGCTACCTGCCTCTGGAGCTCCTGCTGCACTGCAGGGAGTGGTAGAGGAGCGAGGGGTGAGCAGCAAGGCTGCTCTTCACTCTCCACCTTCAGCTTCATCTTGTGAAGCTGTGGTTGGAGGAGACGCCCCGGGACGACTGTTCTCGATGAGATGACTTGTGCACCAGCTGCCCCTGCGCTGCGCAGCCAGATGAGCCAGTAAGTACGACAGAGGAGGCAATAACACCATGAAAGCTGTCGTCTCTGGTCAGAGTCAGCGCGATGGGACACGTGGCATCTCTCCTGGCTGAGGGGAGACATGCAAAGTGCTCAGGAAAGCAAGCCAGAGCTACAGGAGTCCCTGCAGAGGACAGCATGGCACTCAGACATAGGCCACCAAGATACCCTCTGGTGAACTTTGATGGAGAGCCCACGCACTCAGGTTGCAAACGCCTACAGTGTGAACACATCACACACCTCTGGTTGTCCAGACAGGTACAGGAAGAGCTGCTGAGGACACCAGCACAGCAGAAGCCACCCTCCAGCCATCAGCCATCATGCTTTTCCTGGGAAGGTGGCTTTGAGACTCATTTCTCTCCTCCTTTCACACAGGACAAACTGTCCCGAGCAAAAACCAAGTAAGTCCAAGCTCCAACTACAGAAAGTCCAGGAGGGGTGGACAGCCATCACCTGAGACAACAGTGCCAAGAAGCTCAGGTTGTTGACCCTTCTGCTTCCTTACTGTCTTTACTGCAATGCCACAGCTCTGTGTTTCACGGTCTCTATGCTTTGAGGTGCAGCAGCTGCAAAAATACACCATGCTGTCCCCTCCAGCTCCACATATCTGCCTGTGCTGGGACACGCAAGGCGTGTGTCTCATCCCAAACTTCACTCCCACTCACAGCAGAAACATCCAGGAGCCCAAGAGCTGCTCCACAAGCATGTCCACCACATCCCCGCCACACATGCAGTAAAATGCACTCAAAGCTAGCTCAAACGCCAACTACCCCCTTGGGAGATGGAAAGCAGAAGGGATTATGTCCACATATGCACCTTTAGAGATCACTAATCTTTTAATGCGTTCCTACCCATCTACAAACCTCCCAGGCTGCGGTGAACATTAATTATAAACTAGGAGATTTCAGAGAGCACTTTCAAACATCACCACCATCAACCGGGATGGTCTTACGTACAACCTCCGTCTCTCCTGATGAGTGTGAGGCAGGAGGAGACAGTTGAGCTCTTCCAGTAAGTTTGAGGAAGCGCTCAGCCAAAAAAAGAAACAACAGATTCCTCCAGGCTCCTCCTGGGGCCACCGGCTCCCTGCGAGGCGGGCGAGCGCAGCCGCGCACGGCAGCTGCGGGGCAGCACAGGCACGAGAGAGGGAGGTTGTCAAAAAACGCCTCGGATTTTTTCCCTGCTCAGCTCTGAATCTCCAAAGCTTTAGATTTTATTTTTTTTCCTGCAGCTAAAGCATCCCCTGTTGAAATAAGAGGAAAAACAAGCGAGACTCGTACTAGGAAAAGAAAAGGTACCCGGCACTGAGAGCAATCGGCTCACACCAGAGGCGAGCGCACCACTGTCCTCACAGAGACAGAGTGTCTGGTGGTCTGAGAACAAAGTGGGCACCTATTCCTTCTCCAGATCATCTCTGCTCCTGTCGATGGTACCTTTAGCAACGCTTGGGCTGTAGGATGCAGTCCAAGAAAATGCTTAAGCATCCAGACAGGTCTACTGCCTTAGCTGAGATAACTCACACCCCTTAAATTAAACATGTTTTATCAGATGAAGCAACCCCACGCTGTGGGCTCCACTCATGCTCCATCTCCCCAGAGGTGGACAACTTTTCCCACGTAGGGAAAAGCAGCAGGACAAAGAACTCTGTGATAGATATTAAAAGAAAAAACAAAACAAAACAAAACAAAACAAAACAAAACAAAACAAAAAGCCAGCAATGCCAGCCAGATGGTTGAGCACCGTCCTGGCTGGGGAGCAGGCTCTGGCAGAGGGTAGGACAGCCTGGGCTCCACACGCTGGCATCAGTGTGCCCGTGTTGGAATCATCCTCCACGCCTGAGGATGGCCAGGACATGGCCAGCTCAGACTGTTTGCACCCTGGAAGGGGATGAACTTTCCCCAGCACCGTGGAGATACATCCCCTTCTGTCCATAAACACACCGCAGCATGCCAAAGGCTCCAACCACACATGAAACAGCCCAAAAGCTCCTTTCTCTTCTCAACCACGGCTGTTTCTCAGGTGGCCCAAATCACAGGACCATGCAAAGGGGACAAGAGCTCTTTGGGAAGCCACGGCAGAAACCACAGGCTGCAAAGTATTCTCAGCATCAGCCCCAGAGCAGAAGCAACACTTCCAGGCACCCACCTGCTCCTGCTCAGTGTCCGATCAGCCAAGGCACCCCATCACACACCCTCACTCCCATGTGATAAACTCCAAAAACTCAAAGCAAAAAGCCACCACAGGAATCAGTCAAATCCTCTGTTTTTCTTGGGGAAAATATTTGAGTTTAAAAAAAAAAAAAAAAAGTCAGAAACTTGGCTACATTGTTCTGGAAACCCACAAAAATTCTGCAAAGCGGTCGGGTGTGTTGTAAGTGATTTCAGACAAGAGGATTTGATGGCGTATCAGGAAATGAAAGTTTGCCAGTAAGTGGAGGCTCATTAAAAGCAGCTCGTTAAAAGAAAAATACAAATCTAATTATAGCTGAAATACAGCAGAGAATTAAACTCTACTCTCTGTGGCGTAACACTGTAGGGTTATTAGCGTGCCAGACGTCAGAGGTGAGGATGCGGCGGGGTCTGCAGGCAGCACACCTGACCGCAGCAGGTTCAGCCCGCGACAGATACCCCGGGAGATGTGGGAAATGGCAAAGCAAAATAGGTCAGGGTTCCCAGACATGGACAAAATGGGTTTCTTAAAGGTCTGCCACAAAAGCTAGACTGGGACTGTGACCTTTACAGGGAGAGAAGCAGGATGAGAGATGAGTTTTGATGGCTCCACACTCTCTCTCTCCCCACTCCCAGCAGCGGCTGCCCGAAAGTCCCCCCCCCTCCCCAAATGAAAGACAGCGCAGTGATGGTGAAGGGATGCCAGATGCCATCGTTAGCCACAGCCCTGGCTCCTACAGCATCCACAGGCCAACCCACTTCCACGTGAAGGAGGTGCTTTCTCCAGGTAAGAGTCCCTTTGGCTGGACCACATGCTGCAGAGGGGCTATCGGAGCCTGCAGCTCTGGCAGGAAGGTGGGTGACATTTCAGGAAGACCCCATCCCTGCACACCCCACCCCCTTGTGCTGAAGGGACCTGCCTGATGAAGCCAAGGTCGTTACACACGCACCCAGCCGGCACGCTGCCTTGGTTAGACAGCCATCACCTGGGTAGCAGGATGCTTCACCTGCCCAGGGGCTCCCAGCCACAGGGCATCTCTGAAAACCACTTTCAAAGAGCCAAGAGGAGAACAGAGGAAATTCAAGCAAGAGACAGATGGAAGGGGAAACCCTGGAGCTCTTCCACCCAGCCAGCTCCACCTCCATCACCAGGTGGGAGTGTTGTTCTCCCAGAGAGCCCTTGGCCAAGCTCAGCACCCAGATAGGCTCAGGCACCGCTGCGCTGCGGAGAACAGCCCAGCAGTTTATTTCTCCTTCAGATCCCCGGTACCGCTGCCAGGAATAAATGCATAAGGATTATCCTTCCCTGTCAGGGAGAGAGGGAGAGAGGACGCAGCCAGAGATCTAAGCGCATATGGCGCATGAATGAGCGGGGGATGGCTGATGGAGGTGGCCTTCTGCCAGGGGTGCGGAGGGTTTGGGGAAGGTTTCTCAGCTTGCTGAAGACATTTGCTTCTTGCAAAGTCCAGGCAGAGCCTTTCTCGCCATTTCTGGAACAACCAAAAAGAGGAAGATGGTGGATTGGGGTTGGTTGGGGTTTTTCTTGCACAGCCTTTCCATACTGATGTATTGAATGACCCTGAGAAGGCCTCCCAAAGACAGAGGGGAAAAGCATCAGGATATTCCGGCTCTGTAGAGTTTCCCCCCCTGCTCCTGCCGGAGCGGTATCTGTTTCAGGCTGATTGCTTTCCCTCACTCATCTTTCTCCTGCGCTGGCAGCTCGGATGCACAGATGGACAAAACATTCCCAGAGCATTTCAGACAGGAACCCCCCCCACCCCAGAATATGCTTCTTCCTCCCAGATGTGCCAGCTCTGCTGGAGGACAGGGCTGGGGAAGGATCCTGCCGCAGGGGAAAGGAGGCTTTTGAGGGGTGGGGGGATTTGCTACCAAATGACTTTGCTAACATGTGCCAAAAAAATTAAAAAATAAAAAAAAAGAAAGAAAAAGGAAGGGAGGGGATGCTTTTGCTGCCAACAACCACTTTCACCTTCTTCCCCACTCAGCAGAGCATTTCTGTGGGGAGGAAGAACCGTAAAATTCGTTCAGAGGGAAGAAATAAAGCAACCAAGCAGCCAACAATAAAAAACCCATTTCCTTACGGAAGGACAGCTTGATTTTAACGACAAGGAGCATATGCTGCTCCCGTCAGCTTCAACAGCAGCTCCTCAGCATCTCAAGCAGTGGATCGGCAGAGTTGTCAGTGTTCACGTCAGCAGGACCTTCAGCGCCGCGCTGGGCACTCATTCCACTCGGGAAGCCCCTCTCCAGAGTGGGAAACAACCACGGTTTGCACCTCCTTCCTCAACTGTGAGTTAAAAAACACCGGCCAGCAGCCAGACTGCCAAGTGTGAGAGGACACCAGCATTCTGTCTGAGCTTCCTAGGAGGGAGAGGGGAAGGGCTGGCTTCAGCCAGCTCCCACCAAACCCAACAAGAGGAACCTCTGTTGTTTCCATCACTCCAGATGTTCCTTTGGCCCCAGCGAGCTGGCACACAGGGCTGCATCCTCACACCCCCAGCACAGCTGCTTCTGCCCACACTTGGCTCCCTCTCCCTAAACACTCCGAAACCTCTGCAGATAAAAAGTAACAAAAAATAATAACAAAAGGTCCTTCACATTAATTAAATCATATTGTTTGAAAACAAAACCAAAACATCCTGCTTTGTCATGCAGGAAAGAAAGGGATAGTATCTGGTGTGGGAAAATATAAATCTGATGGAGAGGAAGGTCAACTGCATGCTTCTCTTTGAGAAGTACTGGCTTCATCCAACAGCCCAAGTAGAGGTTTTGCTCCATTCCCAAATCCCTGCTGCACACCCCTCAGGAGAGCTCGTTCCTCTCCAGCAGTTTGGGATGAACAGTCATCAGGGAGTTTAGAAACTGACTCCAAGCAAAGGAGAAAAAAAAAAAATGGTAAGAGAGAGGCAGAGAGAAGTGATTTGCTTTAGGAAGCAAAAGCCTTAAAGTCTGTGGGGTTTTTCACAGACATCCCCCAAGGTTTTGTCGTATTAATCTCTTAATGGGTTTATGGTAATTGTATACATGGCAACATGGAGCAGGCAATCCTGCTGCTGGGGACTGCTCCTGTGCTGGGGTAAAGCACTAACTGAGGAGATCAGATTCAAATCCCTGGCTCAGGCACAACTCTGACTGGAGATGGACCAGACGCTGCTCATGGTCGCAGAGCTGCAAAGCCCCAGAGAAGGGGCTGGATGCACAGGAAGGGCCATCAGGACATTGCAGCAATGTTTTCAACAGCCCAGTACTACAACAGTGGCAGCAGCAGCCCTGGAAAGGGACAACTGCTGGAAATGAAAGAGAAAAGACCTTGTGTTAAAGCTGGGCTGTGCAGAGGACTTGGGCAACCCAGGCTGAATTTCCAGCTCTGCCACTGACTGCTTGCATGGCCACGGGCATGTCCCTAAGGACAGACTTTTCTACTTTTAAGGTCTTCTGACAAGCAAAAGATCCCACAAGCTGCATTTCCAAAGCTCCCTTGTCTTGCAATTACCAGCTCCAGACTTGGCACAGCACCAACCACCCCATGTCATGACAAGGAGCAGGGACACAGACCACCCTGGTGGCACTGGCACTGCCACTTCCCCTCTGGGGACGTGCATGGGCAAGGATGAGGCACAAGGCAGCACGCAGAAGTGAGGATGCGTGCTCCCCTCCAACCACAATCTCTTACCTGCTTCTTCTTCAGCTTGGAGATCTGCTGCTCCACCATGGTGATCTCACGATCCACGCGGTCCATGTTCTGAATGAGCTCCTCCTTCGACAGCCGGGCCGGCAGCAGGTCCAGCTCGGAGTCGGGGTGAGCAGGGCTCACGGGCGACACAGGCTCCAGTTTGCCAGGCAGGCCACGATCCTGGGGAGCACAAAACAACCAGGTCAGCTCTTTCCCAGGAGACTCCAGATCCTTCTCATCCTCCCACATCAGCCACCACAGCTCTCTGGCCCATTCCCAGCCCTCTGAGACACAATCCCCCCTCAAAAAAACCTGCTAGACTAAGCAGTACCAGCTGCCAGATCACATCACCACAGTGTTCCACAACCTCAAACATCTCCAGAGAGCACCAGGTTAGTCTCCCAGTGACATGACAGCAGTTTGTCCTCCTGCCAAAGCCTCAGAGGCTCCCACTATCTTCAGCACTACCCACATTCCTCTGGGATCAATAAAACCATCCATACCCAGGAGCTCCCAGCAGCACTGTCCCTTCACATCTCAGCAGACAGCTCAAAGGCTATATCTTCTCCACAAAAACGAGGTAGCCACAGATGTGTCCTCCTCCAACACAGCCATGGCCATGCTGGAGAGAAGAGCAGCCTTAACTGTGCTAAACAAGAAGGGCAGCCCCTGGGAGGAGAGATGACCCCCACCTCTTCATGGAGGTTCTCCTCCATCTCTTGTTAAATCCTAGGCGGAGCTCTGAGCTTTGGAGGTCAAACACATCCATCCAGAAATGGAGAGAATGGGGATAGGTGAGGTCAGTTGAGATGAAAAGAGATCAAATTGATGAAAATCAGCTTTTTAAATTCTAGGTAAAGAAATTCTCAGCTCAACAAGACCCTTCAAATCAGAGACCGGATGGATCAGCATAAGAAGGGGAAGTGGCAGTGGCTTGTAGGTGGGTAGGTATTTCTAAAGGAAAGCAAGCTACCTGCCAAAGATGCAGGAGAGAAAGACTTCTCTCTGTGCACGTGAAACAAAAGATAATCTCACATCTGCCAATATCCAAGGCAGGGCACCTCTAAACTCCTACTTGGCATAAAACCCTTTGGAAACCTGGTTTCTGATATATTTTAGCCTTTTCAACTTGCAGAACCTGAATCAAAACAGCAGCAAAGCTGAGTAAGAGGAACAGCCGCAAGTCACAGCGCAAAAACCATCATCATCTGGTATTAGATGATTATAGCAATAGAGAGAGGCAATGGCCCTGGACCTCAAATAACTGGTCACTGTCATTTCACAAGCACCTCTCTAGATGAAGGAGATGACAAGCAGCAATGGGAAGGAAAAACCAAAACTGAAGGCAAAAAAACCCCCAAACCTTGCCTGTGCAATGGTGAAGCTTAAAAAGCAGAGCTCCTGGATCTACACAAGGCACAAAGCAGCCCTTCTTCTGAATCACAAAAATGGGCTGATAAGAGGTGTGCAAAGACCAGAGTCCAGCCAGAGCCTGGGGTGGACACTAATGGATAGAGACATTTCAACCAGCACTCTGTTTCCAAGCACTCTCAAGAAGCCACTCAAAATATATTCCTTTGCTTCAGACAGTATCGTACCCAGGCTCTGAACAAGTGCAGTGTGAAACATGAAATTCTTCTTATTAACGTGAAGTCACAGACTTTGAAACCAGCATGAGCTGGGAGAGCTGGAATAAATCTGCTGGAGGGAAGAAAACAATTACTGCATTACTCAAGTTGATATTTTCTCAGTAATTATACTGTTTCCATGTGATTTGTTTTTATACACGGCTAACAGCTACTGTAGTTCCTGTTTATCCCTGGCCTTATTATTATGTGATTTGTATGATAACAAGGGTGGGCGAGCGGGAGGCAGAGGCTGCACACACCTTCCCGCAGCAAGAGGAGATCCTGGCACTGAAGAAAACAATTATCACCAAGGAGTCTATCAAAGAGCAAGGCCAGGCTTTGGGGGTGGGTTTCTTCTACACATTCTTATTCCCAATATAGAGAACGTTAACGGAGCAAGCCTGCTACACGCTATGAGGCAGTGGCTTTAAAAATAGGGGAGAAAGAGAAGAAAGGAAAAGGATAAGTCAACTGCTCATCAAGGTCTTGAAGAACAAGTAAGCACGTAAATTTGACATCCCTGCCTTCAGATATGCTGGTGTCTGGGTGCACAAGAGAAAAAATGGTGGGAACCCCAACCCTGATCCTAGGACATGTTGGAACCTGCACCAGACCATCGTCTCCTCCTTATTTTGCAGTACTGACGCACTTCACCGTGCTCTCAGGGAGCTCGTGGGAGTTGGTGGGATGGAGAAGAGTGTCCATGCCACGTGTCAGCACAGTGCCTACAACTTGGATGCAGCCCAGCCTCCGCGAAGGGTAATTTTTCTCAGCTGCTTCCCACCCTCAGGAGACAGTGGAGCAGTAGCTCTGCTCCATCTGCATCTAACTCGCGCTGCAAAATGCATTTTGACCTTTTTGATCCCCTGACCACACTGGTTGCCTCTTGAAGACTGCACTGGTGGAGCTCCAAAGCCTCCAGAGCCCCAGCCAGCGCCTGCATGGCACTGGTGGGTACCAAGCCAACAGAGCCGCTCGCTTGGGATGACCCTCAGGACTTCCAGCGTGGCACCATGGTGTTTGCCCTACATATCTTCAGTAAGTCCTGGTCTCTCTCTGCCTTTCTAAACCAGATCATTAGTGATGTTCCCCCAAGCCCAGGACAGAGATTTGGGGATGCCAACGTCACCTCTTCCACAATCTGTTCACTTTCTAATTATCAGCCGGCAGCAGCGTTTTCTGCTGGAGCACCAGGAGAGATTAAGAGGTCTTATCTCCAATTCCTGCCCACTCGCACATCTCCTGTCCTTACGGGCTGGAAAAGATTGCCAAAGCAGGCAGGATGTGCCAGGGCTGCTCGAGTTGTGCTCAAATTAATTCCTCTCTCAAAAAACCCACACGAACAAAGGGTGGGTGTGTGGCTGGGGTGGCCTGCCTGCCAGGATGCCTCCATCGCCCAAGCCTCTCACGGCAGCACAGAGCTGGTGAACATCACTGAACTCCACCAACAAACACCACTCCCAAAACCCCATCCGCGAGGCTGGGCTACACGGCAGAGACAGCAGCTTGTCCTCCCCATCCAGGAACCCGTGGCTGAACAGCAGACAGAGCCCTGGGGCTTTCCCACACACCCTGGGACGAAAACCAAGCAGGAGAGCCACCACCCTACACTCCATCCATCAGCTTTTAAGATAAAAATATGCATATGAAACTCTTAAACAGGCCAAAAATAGACCAAGACCAAGTATTTTTTTTTTTTCTTAATTGGAAAAGTGTCCAACACATCAGCAGCCTCAAGACGACAGCACTGGTAGGGGAAAAAAAAGTCAAAAGGGCTGAAAATTAATGTCTTGTTTCCCCAGGGAGACGCCCAAGTACGAAGTCAGAGAGCCTGAGCAGTGAAAAGTACATCGAGTTACTGCAATTCTTTTGTTTGTGACCATCTGCTGCTCTGATGGCTCTTTCAGCAGCCCAGCCCTTCCAACGGGGTTTTAATTCTTAAACACTGGTGGGCTCTGGGCTGAACTGGGTCCCCACAGCCGCTCAAAGGGCTGCGGCAGCGGGATGTAGATGTGCGTGTCAGTGTTCCTGGGAGCTCCTATGGAGTGACCATGAGCAGATGGGTGTTCCTGTGCAAGGATAACCAGCGTGCCCGAGGGATGCCAGGTACAGGACCATGGCATCACCCACCTCCTCCCTCCATCCCCACACTCCACTGCACGTGCAGGCAGGAGGGACAAACAAAACAGGGATCGTTTGCACTGGATACAGCCCAGCACATGTTCTCATGGGAATTCATGAAGCTGGAGACTAAGGAGCTGTTTGAAGACAAAACTGATTTTTTTTATTATTATTATTTTTTAAAATAAATCTGTGACTTTATGAGAAGGCCTACAAAATTCCTTTCTCCTGTAATCCAGCTGAATTCCACACAGCCAGGGCAGAAAACATCCCAACAATTTCTAAGCTTGCACGAAAGTAGGTCAAAAAACTTCCCCAATATTTCAACAGCTTGAAGCAATTTAATTGCAAAACCAGTACCAAATGCTGACCCTCCCTCCCCACCCCCACCAGCAGATTTATGAGGCTGGTAAAACCACGCCAGCAAGCCCTGCAGTGAAATGCACTAACCAAAGCCCAGGATCTGCTCCTGCAAAACCTGCTGGTGCTCAGAAGAGCCGTTCCACAGCGCTGTCCTCAACAGATGCTGCCTCTGGACCTCCAGATCCCAGGATATTACAGAAGTGGCAGCAAACATGGCTTGTGGACTCTGAGGGAGCCTGGAATAACGGGTCCAATCCCAAAAAACCTTACCCAGGCAAACTCCCACCGAAGCCTAAGGCATTACAGCACCAAATGGATGTTGTGTCTTTCATTCCCTTCTTGCATTTCCCCATTAGTGGATAATAATTGCATTGAATGCGAACGTTCCCTCCTGACTTGGCAGGAGGGATGAATTCTCACCTACTCATCTACTCATTACAAAGAGGAGCTAATCACTCCACCTCTCGTTAAGGACTGCTCTCCTATCCCACATCACTGGATTTTCAGTGGACCCTAAGTCCGTTAAAACATTAACTGTCTGGAGGGAAGTTTTCCATGATGAATACTTGTTTCAGGCATTTTTAGGCTTTTCTTTTCTTCCTAAATAGTAAGTTTCAGCCAAAACAACTCTGCTGCTTCCAAGAACAAGTTTAGAGGAAAATATGCCTTTCTGTAACATTCAGAAAGATTCTGGGAACCTTTTCTTTGAGCATCTTCGGCACAGTTGATACATCTGGCAAGATTGTTCTGTGCCAGTGACTCGGCTTTTGTTAACTTTGAAAAAGTGTCCAAGTAAAAAATAAAAAAATAAAAATAAAAGAGTCATTTTGGTGCCTGGATAGTGGAAATTACTTTGAGCTGAGCAAGTGAGAGGAGTGGGGTCCTGGGGAGCTCCAGGTCAGGTAGCACACTCTGCCTGTACTCCTGCAGAAGAAAGGGCTGGGGTGAATAGACCTGACTGGTATGAGTGGAACGTGCTGAGCCAACAGCAGTAAGTGCCCTGAAGAGCCGTGAATAACTGCAGGAGTCTGGTCTGGACAGCAGGTAGAGCCTGAGACCACACACCAA